GTACATCATGAGATTAATGGCTACTGTTCTGGATGCCGAATCTGGTCTGTATGACTTCTGAAGTATGAGCTTTGGCCTCTGGTTCCCATTTAATTACAAAATGGATTTTTTTTTTTTTTTTTTTTTTTTTTTTTTTTTTTTTTTTTTTTTTTTTTTTTTTTTTTTTTTAGCTCAGAAACAATTTCTGCAAAGCAAGAGCCTTCATAATTTTTAGCAAGTACAGTTAGACAAAAGTTACCTTCAGGTCAATTATTTTTCAAGAATAAGAAACACATGCTGGATTCTTTCTAAAATGAAAGTGCCAAACTTTCCTCCTTTAAGAAATAAACTGCATACTTCAGGTTTAAATGCAATATGCAGCTCACTTAAAATTTGTTTCCGATGTTTACACATCGTCAAAAGGGACTTGACCTTTCATAGCCAAGTATGAAAAGATAAAGTAAGTAGAAGTGTACCTTGCAATAGCCAGATAGCACTTGGTTGCTTTAAGAACCTGACAGTAGTTCATGGTGATCAGGTAACATTTCAGCTCCAATCAAAAGGTGGCCCAAGCTCAGGGAAAACACCACCAACAGGTGCTTGATGCTGTTAGTACCTAACCCAACCCAACTCCTTCCCACACAACTTTCATTATGTCTTGCAAAACATCTTGAAAATCATTTTTGAAAAGCATGAACAGACTTTACCAATCCCAGCCAGTCAGCAACTAAGCGACGAAAGTAACTTCTATATTCTGCTAATTCCATGATTACAGATCAGAGCATAATTTTACCTATATTTTGTTCAAATATCTGTGTCTTGAGTTCATAAAAACACTGGCATTTGGGCTGCTTCTATGTTACTGATAAAACAGTATTAATAGATTTTTTTCTTAACATGGAACCGTATTCCTGATGAAAAACGTGTGGTCCCCCACAATAAACAAACATTTATAATCTGCCCGCAGAATGAATTACAATTATTTTCTACCTGCAACTGCACTCTGTACTACAGCTACACTTTTCAGCAAGACAACTCAAAACAGTAAATATGAACTAGTAACTCTGAAGTCTAATGACAATTGTTTACTGTTTGTCCTAGTCCATGCTACTTTTACAGCTGCTTTCTTTGCTTGAAGTGCTGAGATAGAAATCAAAAGGTCCCGATTCCTTCCACCAGGCCTCATCTTGTTTATGTGGATCCTCCTGTCAGGGCCTTGAGTGCCCTTCCATCATCCTAGGGGTTTTGCTGCCAAAAGGGCTCCAGAAGGAGAAAGATGCATCTTGAAAACACCATCCAGCTCTGCTTCTGTCCTTGCTGCAAAAATCTTAAATTCATAATACCCAATAACCCTCTTCTCTGTGCTGTCCTAATGGCATCTTCACAGCTAGAGACCTGTCGATGCATGAAGATCCTAAAGGAGTTCTCCATGCAGATATTCCACGACCAGTTGCTTTGGCTACACCATTTGTTTCACAGCCAGCTACAAGCTCAAGTCTCTATCCAGGATCACAAACCACAGTAATTATTCCATGGCCATAACGGCTGCTCAAACTGAAATTGTAATTTTCTTGGAAGCTCTGGATCATTTCAGTACAAGGTAAGTTTTCAGTTCACCGTGATAACCAGTGACAAGCAGCTCAGCTGACCATTATGCACTCTCTTTGTACTCCAGAAAGATCAATGCAGCAGTAGCAGACCTCGGACCTCCTGGAAAGCCTGTTGCGGGTGGAATGACCAAGGGCTCACTACCCCAGCAGGCCAAACACTCTCACTGAGCCAGTGCTTTCAGCACAAGCAAATAACATGCAGTAATGGCTCCATGCCACTTATGTTCAGTGTGGATTAGGCTCTTTTGGTGCTTGGTATTTTCCAACAACAGGTCCAAAGTCATCTTCTGCAGACCTGATTTCTACACATTGGTCTTGAACAACTGCCAACAGTCTACGGTTGTGACAAAGGGCATAGTCTCCCAGTACCTGAATGAAGAAAGCAGAGCAGGTGTACTGACAGCGATCAGGGTCAGCCAGTCCAGTGGTTGCTGAACAAGTCCACAGCGAAGAGGCACACCAAGCCAGGTAGTCAACACATCAGGTTCCAGGTCAGCGAGGTATGTGGCTGGACAGCCACATAGCTGCAACCTAGCTAAGGCAGCGGCCAAGGCCAAGGGCCTGAGCTTAAAGACAACTCCTGAGTGAAAGGGGAACCCCAACAAGACTTCTCACAGCTCTTTCCACAGCAGTCTGATTCAAGACTACATAGCTGCACCATATCCAAGATGACCTTGAGCACTGGCAGCCAAATGAACTGCAGAGATCGGGGTATTTGGAGCCCTGACACTTTCTATCCTACAAATACCTACTGCTCCTCCTTATTGGTGATGGTGCAGATACCAGCGACAGCAACAGCAGCCAATAAAATTCTGACACCCTTATTTCCTATTCACAAGACTCATAACATCATTTTTAAAAACGACCTGCATCTGTTTTTCCAACTGTGTTGTTCTGGCAAAGCCGTAAGTAGCCCAGACAATAAAGCTGTCTGCAGTTCAGGAGGGGCAGGAGGAAAGGAAGGAAGCTCCCATCCCACGCCAGATCAGAAAATTTTATTTTTATTCTGCAAACTTTACATACTCCATATGATACAGGTACAGAAAGTGTTTTAGAATTAACTTTCAAAGCAAGGTTGCAATTTTTATTTTCAAAGAAGTCCTGATAGTGTAGTCCACAAGGCTTCACAGATTTTTTTAAAAGTAAGATTAAGGCCAAATATGGTAGCTACAATATAGGGTAAAATGAAATATAATACATCACCTCAAAATTTTAGTTTAAACATTATATGAAATTGGTGATAAAGCAGTATCTTCTCTATTACAACAACCTAGATCTACTAGAAACAACTCAGGGGTTTGTGGCCTCCCCCCCTTTTGATATTGAAGTTTTAGCTATTACAGCTGCAACAGATGATGTAAAAGGACAGCTGCAAAAGTAGCATGGATTGGGACAAAGAGTCAACATTTGCCATTAGGCTTCAGAGTTCCCAGTTCATTTTTACTGCTATTAATTTTGTATGTATTGTTCTGACAGGCTTCATTTTGGAGGCAGATCAGTACTGATAACATCAGAGCAGCTAGTGAGATGAGGTACACACCAAAAAACAAAGCAACTTCTGTATACATATATGTATGGAAGAGATGCTTTTCCCCTCCCAGTATCAAGAAACTCCTCTGGGCTATAATACCAGAGATGCATCTAATTTCCTACCACCTGAAAAATGCAAAACAAACTCCCAGTTATTTCTTAATTGCTTACAAGAAAGTCCACTCTCATCAGCCATTTAAAAAACAAACCAAAAACCAAACCACAAAACCCCTTAACCTGTACTTTACTACTGTATTATTCAGTACACCAAAAAATTAGGTCTTAGGAAAGTAAATTTCGCAACAGTTTCTTAAAATTCTTTGTTTCCACAATTATGTATTTGATTCGAGCAATAACGGGGATAATAAATTCACTGACAAGAACCTTGTTATTGTATTGAGACAAAGGATTATTAAGGTTCATTATTATAACATTTCATCATTCCGATTCCAACCTTGGTTGTTTCCCTGACTTGAACCTTTAAAAGATGGTGCTTCTCCCCTTCCAAAAGGCAGCATCTATCAGAGAATTAAGGTGATTTGTGCAGAGTGAAAAGCAAAGGCCCGTCTACAGGTCAGGCAGTTGCATTTATATTCCCTTGACAACAAGCACCATCCCTATTCTAACTCAAGGGAATTTTATCGCATTTCCCCCCCACTCACAGACCAAAATTAGAGTCTTCTAGAATACATCCAGTCCCACTTCAGACAGAGAAGTATACGGCTCTTTTAAAAGGTAAAGAGAAATCATGATTTATTAATACATAAAGACCAATGCTGCTGCTTAGAAGGAACAGGCTTCTGAACAGTTGGGGATTTTTAAACTTTGAAAGCAAAATTTTTCCGGTTTGCGGAATATTCATTAAAAAAAAATACTTTTTTCAGTACTAACATCAAGTCTACGCCAGTGAAAGCTGAGAAGCAAAGGTAATCGAGAATGGTATCAGCTGTATTTCTCGCATATAAATGCCATTGTTCAAGGTGTGCTGATCCCAGCTAATACATGTTCTGCTTAAAAAATGTTCTAAACCAAAACCACCTTAAGGAAGTCATTAAAAAGAAAAACCTTTGGTTGGTTAACAGCCAGCTAAAAAAATACATAAAAAACCCCACAGCAATGCAAAATTTTACTAACTGCAAAAATACAGAACAAGAGAGACACACTCAGTATGATGCAAAAGCATCATACCAACGTGTATTTTCCCAATGAATAATATAAAATGTAGATTTGCAACGTACTAATTCTCTAGAGCCAAAAGCACATATTCTGTGAAGAAATTTAACATTCAAAACTGCACAAAGCGATAGGCATGTAAGAGCTTTCTTGTTAAAGCCGAACCACATCTCTTCTAAGAAATGCTTTCTGAATACATAAAGGATATTTTCATAACAAATGTCACATCTCGTCCCCCCCTGCCTCCCCAACAACACTCCCAATTCTTTTACAAGCTGCAGCGGGTTTTCAAGGAGCTCTATCTGAACGAGTCACACAAAAAGGGCTTTGAAGCACACCAAACGCTTGCCCTTATTCTATAGGAACTGTATAGCGATAACTTGGCTCGTCCCTCCCCCCACTCGGTACCTTTCTAGGGTAGTGACTTCACATCCTTTGACATCAGCACAGCTTGAAAGGGGGATGGGAGAGTCACGGCAGAAAGCAGTAAAACCTGCTTTTAACTATGTATGCAACGCCTCGACGAATTCTTAAATCTTCCCCAAACGCACTGAATAGAAGACGGGTTTCGATCTCGCCCCGGCTTTCTGCGGCTGTATCAAACGGCAGGGAGGGGGTACAGAGGCCTCCCCGCTCCCCTCATCTCGCACCACAATAGCCATTTATGAGCTCGTCAGAGGGTCGCGATTCCCTCGCACAATAACTCACCTCTGATATGCAAAAGGGCCACGGGCTGGAACGGCCCATTGGAATTGGCTGCGTCAACCACCATCCTGCTGCCGGCTCTGTTACATGTCAACATCTAGGCTCCAGCAGGCACGGCAATGTATTCCTTAAGGCAAGAAACCAGCCTCCATTTTAGTTTAAAAAAAGACAGAAACTGAAGCGCTCTGCAGCTGGAGGGAACTGGCTAGTTAGTGATGTCAGCGGGCGGGAGGAGCCCCATTGGCTAACGGCAGCAACTTAAAATGACACCGAGGAGGCCGCGAATGAGCGGAGGCCGGTGCGGGGCTGTCACTGCGCCCCGCGCTCCCGCCACCGCCCCGGCCCCCAAACCGCGGCCGGAGGCGGCGACCGGGCTTTTGCGTTTGCTCTTTCTTTACAGCAGGATGATCTGCTGCTGCTCTGTTATTGCCCCCCCAGATAAAAGTCCGTCCGACACCGCTAGAAAAAGCTGC